AGCCGTTTGGATGGGGGCTTCGGTTCGTTTCCCGGGCACTGACGGCAGCCCGCAGCGCCTCCCTGTGGCCCTTGCAGCATTGACGCGTCCCACGCTGGCCTCTGTTTTTTCCAGCTGGTAGTGGAGGCAGCTTTCTTTCTCCCCAAGAGATACACAAGGAACAGTTAAAGCTCTAAGATATACACGGGAAAGAATATAAATGAGCCCCAGAAGCTAATGTATAAGTTAATGCTAGTGTTTCCGATTTTTTTGTTTGTTTGTTTTTTTGGAGACAGGGTTTCTCTGTGTAGTACTGGCTGTCCTGGATCTCACTTGGTAGCCCAGGCTGGCCTCGAACTGTCAGAGATCCACCTGCCTCTGGCTCCCGAGTGCTGGGATTAAAGGCGTGTGCCACCACTGCCTGGCTTTTAGTTCGTCTTATTATTTTTAGAAAGGGTCTCTAAGTAGCTCTGGCTGTCTTGGAACTCTACATAGACTAGGCTGGTGCTGGCCTCGAACTCACAGAGCTGCCTCTGCCTCTACCTCTCCAGTGCCTGGATCTAAGGCACGCACTTGGCTTCTTCCTCCTTTTGAAAGAAGCAGTGTGACCTACCTAATGGACACACTCAGCCTGTGGTGTCATACAAACTCACAAGTTACGTGTGTACTTGAGCAAGCTGACTCCTGTGGGATCAAAGACCTGCAGGTACAGAAGGAAGTAACAAGTCCAACATCTGGTGCTGTGGGGTGAAGATTAATGAAGGAAGTTAAAACTCTGTGTAGTGTCCCCTGTGGAGAGAGTGCTCAGTAAACCGTCCCTGTCTCTGCTATTGTTATCACAGCTCCTAGGAACCCTCCTCTGTCCTCAGGACTGTAGACCTAACCCTAACCCTAGTGCCTAACTCTAACCCTAATCCTAGCCCTCTGCGCAGTTCTAAGACAAGGGTACTTACTACTCAGACAGTGCTCTCCATAAAGTCCCTTCTCTAGAGTAAAGACCACTGACTCGCAAGCTGACCCACTTCTAGTTTGGAGACCCTCTGATTCAAGGAAATAGATTTAGAAAAATACCCCAAAGCAAAACTAAACAATTTAAAATAGGAAGGAAGGAAGACAGAAAGAGAGAGAGAGAGAGAGAGAGAGAGAGAGAGAGAGAGAGAGAAGAAAGAAAGAAAAGGAAAAGAAAAGAAAGATAAAGCCAGAAGGGCCCTGTCAGAAACAGATTGGAGGCCCAGCCCCCTCCAGCAGAGGAGTCTGGCACTCTGCCTGGCACACGGCTAGAGCCCAGCAAGTGCTGACTTCCTTCTCTTCCTGTCCCCCTTCAGCTACATCCCTGAGAGAGGATGAACATGGCCGTGGTGTGATCTCTTTACCAATCAAATGGTTTCTCCTTGAGGGTGCCCAGTAGGAAGAGCGGAGACGGGTACTTGCAGTGGCCTCCACACTCGCTGATGTGTGTTCTGTGACCCTCTCAAGTGCAGAATTGCCTACCCCCCTGTCCCCAATCTACCTTCCATGTCCCCGAGTGGAGGTGCCTGTCGCTGTTCTGGCCATTTGGTAGCTTATTAAATCTCAGCACCACTTGCCAAAACCCCTTTAAACCTCTTGGCTGTTCCTTTTTGCCTTTTCCGATGAGCGGTATTTATTTGGAACTAAATGGTCCTCGCTGCAGAATGAAAGGCTTTACTGCTGAAGGACACGAAAAGAGGTCTTGGCTGCGTTACACTTGCACCCCCTCTTTGCCGCCTCCAGCGCCCTCTGCCCATGCTCCATTGACTGGTGCCGCTGAGACTGCCCTGGGAGCCTGCCCTGGGAGCAGTGTGCTCAGCTCAGCTGGGCAGCGGAGTTCGGCTGATGGAGAAGTGAGTGGTTCTAAGAGGAACTGGCTTCGGGACCCTTCTCCCAAACATGCTGCAGCCCCACGGGAGACTGGGGGCCTAGAAACAACTCGTTTGTGCATGATCTTTGTCTGTCAGCTTGGCCTTTCCTCTCCTCAAGGCACACACATGTAACGTACTCTCGTCTCTCATTCTCTCCCTCTCCCCTCAGGATCGTGCTCATGGATGATGCCATGGATTGCTTGATGTCTTTTTCAGATTTCCTCTTTGCCTTCCAGATCCAGTTTTATTATTCAGGTAAGAATGTTCCAGGCCCCATGTGGCTTTTGTCAGGGACCATGCCTCCCTTTCTCACCCTCTTTTCCATCTGTGTGCCTGGCACACACATTTCCCTTCCCCACTTCCTCTAGGGGTATGCTACATCACGACCCACCAACAGGATGTCTGACTTACACTGGCGGTCACATTATTCAGTCTGCCGAGCCTACTTCCTCAGTGTCCTGAAGATACTGAAAAACACTTCTTCCAGTCAGCAGCACAAAGAAAGCCATTTAAGTGATAACAGCAGTAAGAGCACCAATAGCATTCACTTATTAAAACCTTACTGCTTCCCAGGTGCGCACTAAGGACTTTAATCTGTTCACTAGTCCGAAGAGATAAGCCTGCACAGTTAGAACTCAGACCGTGCTCTTAGCCACTCCCTTAGCCCTTGACCATGTGCGGCATATCTTTTACCATACTCATAGTTTTCAATAAGCACACACCAAACCAGAAGCAGCAGTACAGGACTGTAGTTCAAGCTACTAAAGAGACAGAGGCACAAGGGTCACTTTAGTCTAGGAGATGAAGGCTACCATGGCAACATAATGAGACCTCATCTCTAAAAGAACAAGAATCTCTCTCTACACACACACACACACACACACACACACACACACACACACACACCAGCTCTATCTCACTTCCACTCTGCTTCCCAGTTCATGTCGTTGCACCCTTAAGCCCATTCTGACTTAATAAATGGAATAAAAATAGATAAATATAAATGTATACAACTCATATACCAAATTGAATTTGGGGTTTAGAAATTGCTGCATCCATAAAGAAACTTGGTTAAAGTGCTTTTCCAGTAAAAAAGAAAGCTGTCTTTGGAGCCTGGAAATAGCCTTCTTGCCAGCCAGTGCCCCAGTCAGCTTTGGCCTCACTTAGGTGCCACATTCTGTTGACTTGATCGCAGCCCAAGGGCTGTGCAGGCAGGAGCTAGAACCCGGGGTCACCACCTGCTCCAGCAGCACCAGCATCTGTCTCACTTCTCAGAAGCTCTTAGACAGAAGCTCTCAGAAGCTCAGCAAAGATGCAGCCATCTTTGGGAGGATTCCTCTCCTCTAACATGCACATACAGAGGAGAGAGAAGAGGAAGGGAGAAGGAGAAGAGGGGGAGAGAAAGGGGAGAGAGAGAGTGGGGAGACGGGAGAGAGGGAGAGAGGGGGAGAGAGAGAACAGGCCATAAGTCATTGTTTACTAACAATGGTGTGACTACAAAGCTTGGAGAACAACTTCAAATGATTACTAAATTAGCAGTTTGCAGGGCCCTCTCTTCCTCGGTGGTATTTATTTTTCCTTCCTTTCTTTCAAGGTATTTTGAGTACACTAAAAGAGGCCCAGTCTGGGCAGTAACAAAGATACTTCCTGCATCCTCCAACACGCTTTCATGAAGCAGATGGCCTCATGAAATGGGGCTAACCAGTGAGAATGTACATGTGTTCACTTTTCAAAAGAAAGAACAGTTATAGCATTTAACATGTACCAGCACAGTATTAGGCACTGGGACAGGAGACATCAGTAGGGCATGACCCCTGCCATTGTTCAAGATTCTTACATTCCAGCAAGGAGACAGATAAGCAAATAATTACATAGCAAACTTGTCGTTGGGTAAATGAATTAAAAAGACAGGGTGCTCTGCAGGTCTGCAGGGGGGCCTCATCTAGTCTCATGAGGGCAACAGTCCATCACCTCAGGGATTTTCGCATCTGCACGGAGGCTGGACAGAACTGAGCTATCAGAGAAGGGGGACATGGTGAAGAGATGAAATATGACCTCCTTGCCTAAACTGTACCTTCCCATCCCTGTGGTACCAGAGTTTTTGGACAGTGTGGCTGCCATCTACCAGGACTTGCTGTCAGGGAAGAACCCCAACACAGTGATTGTGCCAACATCATCCAGTGGGCAGCATCGCCAGCGACCCGTCTTGGGTGATGCCGGTATGCTGGACGGAGTGGAGGCATCACTGTTCTATCAGCGCCTGGAGAACCTGTGTGACCGGCACAAGTACAGGTGGGACCTGGCCGAGGCCCCGCCCACCTCAGCCCCGGGGGCGGGGTCAGGCTGCGGGTCTGGGAACAAGTCTCTAGCAATATATTTTGATTGGCTCAGGGTTTCCAAATTTGAAAACATGGCCATTTGCCCCCAAAGCAGGTGGCTCACAAAGGGGCACTTTCACCAGGCAAAACTGGCTGTAGGTGACTTGTTTACTAGGGGGAAGACGAGCCTTGCCTTCTTGGAAAGGAAACATTTACTGTTCCAAACCTTTCCACAGAAAGGGAAGGTGAAACTGAGGCACGAAGGCCCCTTAGGGATAGCCTCCAGGCAAGGAGCTGTCACCAGTGGCCGCGTCTTCTTGCCCTCTCATCTGGGTTCCCTGTAAAAGCTTTGGTTATGGGGCCGGGGTGTGGCAGAGCACATGCCTAGCTAGCATGCTCCATCTCTAAGCTCACCAACTGAGTACACTGAGCATCCCAGCCCTGTGGGTCTGCAGTCTGGGCCTTGCTCCTGCCATGGTCTCCCAGCTTTTGAGTGTCCTGGTGGAGTGCATGAAAAGATGGCACTTAGGCTTGAATCTGGCCTCTGCATTTTCTTCTAGCTGTCCACCCCCAGCGCTTGTCAAAGAGATCCTGAGCAATGTCCAGAGGCTCACTTTCTATGGATTCCTTGTGGCTCTCTCAAAGCATCATGGAATCAACCAAGCACTGGGTAAGTAGAGCTCCTGTGACCTCTGGGCTCCTCCCAGCACAGGTAGCAGCTGGCTTCTGTGGGCAGATACGGCCCTTACAGGGGTAGGAGTCTCTGAATCTCCAGCCTAGAAGCTACAATGAGCATAACCCAAAACTGCCAGCCCTAGGAGGTCCCTCACATTCCCATGTGACTGACAGCTTTCTGCCCTGCCCCAACATGAATGAGCTGCTGCTCTGCTCCCTGGCATAGGCCTGGCCGGCCCCTCCCTAGAGAATCTCTGGTTCTGTTCTAGGGAGTGGCCTGCAGGTTGGGCAGACGCAGGGCTATTTACCCAGTAGTTCTGGAGATTATATATCAAAGTGACCCGAATCCAATTTAGAAACAGGGCAAAGGTGTGTCTGGGAGGTGTTTTTTTCCCAGGTGGGAAAAAAATCTGATAAATCTGAAAAAGAGAGGAGGAAAAAAAAGTGGCGACTGGCCCAGTTTTCCTGCCTGTCGCTTTTCTCCTCACTGGCTGGCTCCACCCACCACACTCCTCCCCCAGCCTCTCTCCCTCCCGGGGAGGGCCGGCAGGCCACTCCTGCTGGAGGTTTGTTGTCTTCTGTTGTTTTGAGACAGGGCCTCACTGTATAGCTCTGTGTAGCTGGAATGTACTACATAGACCAGGCTGGCCTTGAACCGCCTGCCTCTGCTTCCCAAGTGCTGGAACTAAAGGTGTGTGCCACAAACCCAGATCCTGGAGGAGGTTAAAGGATTTATGATTCCATCTTTGCTCAGGAGGATCTCCTTGTGTGATTCGATCCAGGATTCTGAGTCTCAGAGAGACAGAAGGCATCCCTCCTCCTTGTGGCAGTTGAGGGGATGGGATCCAGAGGTCAATTAACCTTTGCTAAATACCCAGCACAGTGTGAGCCAGAAGCTGTGCTGGGACCTTTATGATTATTTCTGTAGACACACATCTGCCAGTGTTCTAGAGGAGACAGGCGAGCTAACATGCATGCTACCGAGGCGGGAGTCAGGGACCTGCTCAACTAAGATTCATAAGCAGGGGCGCCAGCTGGACTGGGGCTAGAAAAGAGGCCAACTGGGGACCAGGGAACACTCTCTAGGTGTCACAGTTCTGGGAACTGACTACTTTTCTACCAGTGATAGCTGCTAGGAGGAAAAGAAAAGCTAGTTAGCAACAACCACAGCCTGCACTAACCTCATCCCCTCTCTGCTCTTAAGAAAGAACCTTCAAAGCTGGGAGGTGGTGGCACATGCCTTTAGTTCCAGCACTGGGGAGGCAGAGGCAGGCAGCTCAGCCAGGTCTACAGAGTGAGTTTCAGGACAGCCAGGACTACAAGAGAGAAACCCTGTCTTAAAAAAAAAAAAAAACAAAAAATCCCTTCATTCCAATCTCCAGTTCTGAGGATAAAAAGGACCCTTACACAATTTATTTCTAACTACTAATTAATGACTAGTGTGTAGAATAGGCAGCAACAGAAGGCAGCATGTGTTAAAAATAGTAACTTGGAACTAGCCTGCTCGAAACAGGTTGTGGAAGAAATCTGTCCCCCCAGAACGATCTGAGGCGTAACCTGACGGTGTAATCGTCAGAGGGGCCAGGGCTAGCTGCTGGGAGTCTGAAGCCCAGCACCACTGTCTGCCTCGAGGCTAAACTGCCATTGAGCCCCGTTCCTTCAACAGTTTCCTGGTGAGAATCTCCCTCTCTGCAAATTTCAGTCTCACCTTCCTACTCATTATGGAGGTGGGTTTTGTTGTTGTTGGGTTTTTTTCCCTAGTTAGGAAAAAAAAAAAACTGATTATTCTGAAAAAATAGCAAAAAGAAGAAAATTTCATTGGAGGAAGCACCCAAAACTCTTCATACACTTCCCAATAGCATCACCAACCTATGTATGCCTTTATGGCTAAGGGAACCAATCCGGACAGATGCTAGTACCAGACCTCAGGATGGGAGCGGATTTCCTCCTCACTAGAAGCAGCAATTTTAGCATGTTTCCACATATCCTACATTTGAGGGGATGGGATCAAGGGAAGGGCAGTTGTATACATTGGCTGTTTTCTACCCTTTGGATTTAGCCTAGACCATAATCTTTCCAGCTCCGCACTTGGGGCCTCAGGAACTGAACACCCAGTGCTGGTCACAAAGCACATCCGATCTTAGAAGGGGGTTGATCACCTGTTTGGGGAGATCTCCTTAGCTGTCACTTTTGCCCCAAGGGAGGGAAAGTGAGATCACTCAATGTATGAAGTAGCAGCTGACTTCCTGTTTCACGTGGACTAACTTTCCCTGATGAACAAGTTGTCAGACATGAAGGCGAGGGACAGAGGATCTGCTCCCTTGCAGGGCCCTCATGTTGATTTGTGACTTCACCCCACACCCCTATCTTCTAGGAGCTTTGCCAGACAAAGGAGACTTGATGCATGACCCAGCCATGGATGAGGAGCTGGAGCGGCTGTAAGTGTCAAGTGGGAAGATGCTGCCCTCTTGTGGAAGCCAGATCTGTTAGCGGTGACTGTGACCACAGTAGGTGACACAGCACCTATTTTAAACACCCCATGTTGGTCAGTGAAAGGGCTTGGGGCCAGCAGAGAACAAAGGTACCCTATGACCTTGGGGGTCTGCTCAAGTGCGTGGATGTGCTGACCTCTGAATAGGAGACTCAAACTCTGGGCTTTTCCTTCTTCAGGCTGGTCCAGGTCCCAGGCCTGGTCAACTCCATCACTGCCACTTCTGAGGCCAGCTGCCTGCCTTCCCGAACCCCTCCCCGGGTTGGTTCCCCATGGAAACCCCTCCATCGCTCCCGCAAACTGGATGCAGAGAGCGATGGCTCCACTGAAGAGACAGACGAGTCTGAGACTTGAACCTGCAGGGTCCCATCTGTGGCCTGCTCCTTGCTCCCCACCCTGCTCTTGCTGCCCTCACCCGACTTCTCCAGCATCACTGTGCTGCCCTCTGCTGGAGAGAAGCGTGAATAACCGCCCTCCAGATAGTTGAGTAACCCCAGAAACCCCGTAGTTCATGCTCCCAGCTTTTGACAACCTGCTGTGCCCTAGGCTGAAGGCCACTTCATCTCTGGCAAGGGTTTTGGCTTGTAGCCTTTTGTTGGCAGTCTGCTTTAAGTAGTGTCTTCTCAGCCACCACGACCCTCCTAGTAAGGGTCATTTCCCACAAGAGGAACATGAATTAGTAATGCAGGGTCTTCATGGTCAAGGGTGACTCCTGAGAGCACGTACTGGGAATATCAACCGTGGCCTTCTGCTGGAGAAATCAGCCACTAGCTGGAATAAGAGGGAGGATGGCAAGAATTTCACTTTCAAAGTCGGCTTCAAGTTTGTATCAAATAGTCCAATCTGTGAAATGAATAAAGTCCCTTGTCTCTGGTAAGCAATGAGTCTAAAGCCAGTAGGCTAAGGGGAGGGAAAGGGCAAGTGATTGGGGGCTTTTCTAACTGACGGGAGGTGGAGCCAGGGGGCCACTGGATCAGGGAGACCTGTCTCCACAGACAGAGGACCTGGCAGCCATTCAAAGCAGAGGCACACCTGAAATGGCCTTCAGCAGCATCTCAGGACTTTCAGTCAGGTTCTACCACTTGTGAGACCCTGGCCACAAGAACTAGAGCTGCCCGGCCTTTTCCAGGGTCTGTGAAGACCTGCTCCCAGGTCAGGGCAGTAGTGCACATATGCACAAAGCAGGCCTAAGGTTTTGGAGCAGAGACTGGGTAACTGGAGAGGTGATCTTCACCTTTCTTGAATGAGGTAGGTCCTCTGCAAAATAAAATTCATGCAGGACTCATGGCAGAGCAGGCTGCCTGCCCCAAGTAAAGCCAATGTCACCACTTACTGAACACATAATTTTCCTCCATTCCTCCTTACCAAGACCTGCCAGTGGATGATTACAAGTGGCTTCCAAAAAGCCCTGCAGTGAGTGCCACGCATCTGAGTGAGTTCCTGAAAGGTTTCTCAAAGTCTGGTGGGTAGCAGAACCACAGGGAAGTTTGGGACAGTGCCAGTTACCAAGCTGGAGTCCTACCGTGCCAATTTGGGGTTGGAAACAGAAATCTCTATTTCACCAACACCCCAGGTCATTCCAAAGCACTGGAAATCACTGGCTTAGAACCCCATGGCTCCCTTTAGCTGTCCTTTCTAACCCTGCATGTCCCGGAGTGTACAGTTTACAACTGTACAGTGCTGAGGATCCCAAGGACAAAGCGGCCCTGTAAGGAAAGGGGCATCTCTAACTCTTCCCAAGTTTGAAAGTCTAAAATGCTTTTTCAGGCCAGGCATTTTAGTGCATGCCTGTCATTCCAGTGCCAGGGCCAAGACAAGAGGATTACAAGTACAAGGCCAGTCTAGGCTGTGGGGACACTGTCTAAACCAAACAGAAACAGCTCCGTTGGGAAGCAGGCCCCAGTCTGCCTCCTGTCATGAGGTGCAGAACCGCTGAGGATGCAGACAAACTCAAGGGCCAACTAACACCACCTCTTTCCTCCACGTGCAACAGGGTGGTGAGGTCGAGGCTGTATCGGACCCCGCGGCAGCACAGGGGCAAGGAGCCAGGGGCCTTTGGCTTTCAGAGAAGAGACAAGCTGGAGGCCCCGGAGAGAGTGCCCTCAGCTTTGGCACCGACGCCCAATCCATATCCGTGGGAGCCCAGCGAGTGAGCGAAGGGCCACACTGGGCAGGGAGGCAGGATGGAGAGGACACTGACCCACAGGCCCCGTGGGGGCTTTATTCTGACACCACTTTGTTCCAATACAAACAGTGCTGAAAGAAAGTCCTGTCCCTCTGGGGAGGGGGAGGGGAGAGTGGTCTGTGGTGTTTGGGAGCCCAACCTGCGATCCACAGGTAGGGTTGGGCCCAGACTGCCAGCACGGCAGGGGATGGCACCAAGGGTGACACAGTGCGTGGCCCAGCTGCCAGAGTGGGGCCTGCAGCTGCAGGTCCTCCAGCTCTCACTGATTGGTGGGGTGCTGTCCAGGACCCCAACCCAGAACGATGCAGAGGACGAAAGCTGAGCTCCAGGGGGTTCTTTCTCTCAGAGCCTCAGCTTCCCCAGCCAGTAGCAGGCTCACAGCATCCAGGGAGGACCCAGATGAGACCCACCATGGGTGCCAAGCAGGACACAAAAGGATAGAATCTCAAGCATAGACAGAGGGTGCTCTGACCCACAGTAACGGTAGATAAGGGCTCTCAGACACCTAGGCAGAAGTCAGCCTCCAAGGGACAGTGGTGACGAAGATTGCTCAGGCCTCCAGGCTGATCCCAGATAAACCCTTTAGGTGCCAAGCAAAAGTTCTAGCCCTTAGTGATTACCAGGTCCTTCTCCTGACCCATCCTCCCCTGAACCCAGAAGAGGCCTTTGACAGTACCAGCAGTGGCAAGTCCAGAACTTCTCCCTGAGGGCTGATACAGCACAGCTCTTGCTAGGCCTCCCCTGTCTCCAGGAGACGAGGCCCAGACCCCCAGACCACCTACAAGGATCCCAGAGCCCGCAAAAGCCTATGCCTTCCCCACTTGGGGAAGAACTAGACCCATGAAGGCATCCTGATGGAACTCCTCCCTCACTCCCAGTGCAGCAGGCTAAGTAGCAGCAGCAGCTTCGGGGCAGGACTGAAGAGCGAGCACTAGCATGGAGAGGAGAGTGTGAGGGTGAGGGCAAGGACTCAACGCACAGGCAAAGGACAAGGCTGATGCTGACCATTCCCTCGCCTAAGATCCTCCAAAGCCACTCAACTCACACACCACACACAAAGTCAACAAATCCCCGATCCACAAGGCAGGCAGGCGCCCCTGGCCTGGGAATCAGGGTTCTTGCTGTCACCACCACAGCATGGAGCCTGGATCAGTAGGAGCCATAGCGATCCTGAGCAGGGAGAAGGAAACCACAGTCAGAGTCTCTAATCTGCAGCAGTCCCTCAGTAATCACAATGCCTCCCCTGCATGCCCCACAGCGGAGTAAGGAGTAAGGCTAGCAGCTGCCTGGGGCTGGGGACCCCATGTTGAGAGTATGCGATGGACTCTGGGGTGAAAGGCACCTGGGTACTAATGAAAAGGGAACTCCTGCCAGAGCTCACAGAACCAGGAGGGAAGAGAGAACAGTAGAAGTAACAAGCGTGGCCAAATCACCTTAGGGGGGGCTCAGCCCAAATACAGGGATGGAAAATTGCCCTGCCAAGAAAAACAAGCGCTCTCTCTCTACAGCGGCCGCTCTCTCTACAGCGGCCGGTGGCTACCCAGCAGTGTCTGGATACAGCAGAAGGCAAACCTCCAAGCATTTGTTTTACATTTCTTCCCAGGCCCAGCAGCCCAGCGTGAGCTCACCTGTAAAGAATTCATCACACCATTAGCCAGCACAGCCATCTTGCCAGCCACAGACTTGACACCTTGCTTAAACTGGGCAATGTCAGCGGTAGGAAGTACGTTCCCCAGAGATACAGTTCCTGTAAAAGCAAGGGAAGGGGTGACCAAGAGCCCCACAAGAAGCCCTTCCCAGCTCAGGGCCTTCAGCTATGCTCACAGGCCTCACTGGGTGCCGACCATACACTGGGCCTACCTCCTCCATGAGCTCCATCCATGTCCCCGAAAAGGTCTGAAGAGCTGATGGCACTGCTGCCCGAGAGCTGCTGTAGCCGAGACCGGGCTTCATACTGTGTTGGAGAAAAGGCAAGGTCTCGGGGATCTTTTGTCGGACGCCAACCTCCCTAATACTATATCCCAAGGACAGCGCAAAGCAGCTCAGGCTGCTGCCTGCTGCTACCAAGTACACAACTTCACTAACCTCAGAATCCACCTCTCGACCAAAGAACATGTCAGATGAGATGGCTTTGGCCCCTGCAAACTTCTGACGGGCTTCACTGGATTCAAGACCTGAGCTCCGACTCTCCACTTCCCTCCGGCTCGTGGTTCTGTGGGCCAGTGCAGAACATCTTTGTCCCTTCCCATTACCACCAGGGGAAGCCGAGTTCAGAGACCAAAAACCACAGCTTTCTGGCCATGGAAACCATGTCTATCCTGTGACTCTGGAATTCAGGAACCTTTCCCAGTGAGTATCCTCCAAAAGAACAGCAAGAGGTCCTCTCCCCTTTCAACTGAGGCTCTTTGAAGCCAGGCACAAAGAGCCTCAGTTCCCTCCAGTAGATGGAGTGAGAATACAGTTCGGAGGGCTTAGGCTCCACTGACTGTGGCTCCCTGAGGTACAGAAGATCCCACCATCACTGCTGCCATCCAGTCCTACTCAGCATCCAAGTGACAGTCTGTGTGCCTGCCTTACATCCACTCTCCTGCCATGACTATTCAGTGCTGGGATCACTCTCTCAGAATCATGCTAGTGTGGATAAAAGGGCCATGCACTCCACTGACAACACAGGCTCTAGGCTGGGGCTTTTACAACCCAGTGAAGTTAGTACTGATGTCCTATTTTACAAATGGATACTCTATGGTAACCTGCCAACAAAACATTGTTTTTTTGAACAACGGAATAAGGTTTGCTTTGTTTTGTTTTGTTTTTTAAAATAAAGGCCGAGGGGCTGGAGAAATGGCTCAGCATTGAGAGCACTGTCTGCTCTTCCAGAGGACCCAGGTTTAATTCCCAGCACCCACATAGCAGCTCACACCTGTCTGTAACTCCAGTTCCAGGGTTTCTGACACCATCACCTAGACGTACATGGAGGCAAAACACCAATGAACATAAAATAAAAATAAATGATTAAAAAAAAAAGGGGCCTAGCAGGTGGAAAACGTGGGTTTGATCCCTAATACTGCAGTCAATCAAAACATGAAGGCTAAAGGCATATAGCCTTTGGAAGGCACATCAGAACTGAAACAGAAAATCAGGCCCCTCCCACCATAAAATAAATCCCAAGGTAGAAAAGCTCCCAGGCTGGTTGTGATAAGCACAGCCCTGTCTAATGAACGGTCACTACCTATCTGTGGTTATTTACATTTGCTAAACTTACATTAAAAAGCATTAGAAATCCAGTTTCTCAGCTGTACTCAACACTGAACATCTTCATCCCTGCACCAGGTTCTGCACAGCACTGCCCTGCCCACACTACCTTTCTGAAACAGGCCGGATGCTGGAGATGGTTACTTCGGGTTCCTTCTCTTCTACCCTGTCCATACCCCAGGCTGCATCTGAATCCCAGCGGGAACCAAAAGTTTCTCCCAAGGAAAAGGGGTTGTCCTTGTACCTAGGGAGACAGCAGAGTAGCTCAGAGAAACCTGAGTAGGAACACATCAGGCAGGTCTATGCCCCAGCAACAGCCTTACTTTGGGGGTCCGGAGGCGAAAGTTCCAACATCATCAAACAAGTCAAGCTGTGAACGGGAAGATTTTGCACTCAGCGGGGTTTCCTGCTCAATCACCTGCATCTCAGACAGCACAGAG